AAACTTCAAATACCAAATTATTATTAAAAAATTATTTTAAACAATATCAAATCAAATAAAATTACAATAAAAAAAGAAAATCATAACATTGAGAATCAAATATTTAAAGCATCGTTTCATCCCCGTTTTTATTAGCTCAATCAAAGAAAACTGCTCCCAACTCTGGTTCATCAAAAAAAAGATTTTCAAACTCAAAGTTTTCAAAGTTTATATCATTTAAATTGAGTCAGATTGGTTACCTCCAACATTCCACGTTCTATTAGGACCTTCTTTAGAAGAATTTCTCTTTACAAATACGGCTTCGTCTTGTTTGTTTATGTTTAAATACTTTCTTTAATTTTATTAATTGTTTATTTATTTACGTTTTTCAATTTTTTTTAAAAAGCTTCCAAACCGGAATGAGAGCTTATAAAACGCTTCCAAATTTGAGTTTTTTTGAATCGTGCTTTCACCGCGTTTCCACGCGCTTTCGATCCAGTTCCGACCTTCGATGAAATTTCGTTCAACCTCTGATTGCTCGTGTCCACTGTTTGCTGGTGTTCACTTCTTGACACTGCCACGTAATCTTAATTTAGGACACACATGTCAAAATGTTGAAATTAAAAGGTAAAACTGTAAATATGAATAAAAAAAATCCAAGAGATAGGACAAAGTAACGTACGATGAGATGGGAGATGATGTTGATTTATTTCAACCTGTGCAATTTCTAGAAGAAGACAAAATGAGATATAATTGGGAAAAGCGGTCCCAAAGATACGTGGCAATTTCACGTGATCAACGTGGTGAGATGAGCTTTCGTGTACGACACGTGGCGTGAGGACACGTGATTGTTTCCAGTTCATTAGTGGGGAGCGACGTCGTTTTCAGGTTATGCGAATTTCTAAAGCCTTTCCCCATCCCTCGAGAAACACGCTAGCCGACAAAATAGTCCGTCTGGGAAAATATTATTAATATCTGAAAAACAGCAGGGTGTGCGTATCTCTACAAGATAAATGACAAATTGGCAGATGTACTACTCCTCCATTTCAAAAAAATCAAGACTTTTTTTTTAAAAAAAATATTGATTTTTAACAATTTTTTATGTAATTTTTATGTAATGATGATGATAAATTATGAATTTTAATATATATTAATTATTTTATTAAATTATTATTGGTTAAATATTATTTAAAAATTATTTAACATAAAAAATAATATTATAGTTAAAATTTAATATATTTTTTTAATATATACGAAAACTATAAAAAATAAATTATTAAAAATTGAGGGAGTAATTCATAAAAAAAACAAACTGTAGCAAACGAAAAGAATGGATATTCCCAATATATAATTTGAGAAGTGATTTTTTTCAAATTCGTTTATGTGTCAACACCAAAATCATTTTTACCAATTTTATTATGACGTGATTTAAAATTATATATGACATCATAACAAAATCTTCTATAACTAAATTTACATTTTTTCATAAATAAATCAAACAAAATTTTAATCAATATTTTATAATGTTTTCGTTATTAATTTTAAAATATTTAAAATTAATTTTGTCAAAATAAATTGGGACAATTATAAAAATGCCACTTTTTGTGTACACATTTGCAAGAATGCCACTTAGGGATGCCCATTTGTAAAAAATCCACTAATTATAGATTTATAAAGCCTATATCTTAAAATTCTAAATCCTAAAAAATATTTTAACCCCTAAAACACCATAAACCCTCATAACTAAACCCTAATATAACATAATTAACCCAAACATAAATGATATAAAAAAAATAATTTTGAAAAAGTGGCATTTTTCTAAAAATTTCAAAAGTGTGGCATTTTTGTAAAGTGACATTTGAAAAATGGCATTTTTTTAAAATTTCTCTATTTTTAGAACATTTTTTATCTAAATTATTTTTTACTAAAATCTTATTATATAAAGGAGAATGTGCGTAATAAGAATGCGGCATGTATGCACAATTCTCTTTAACAAAAAAAAAAGTAGACACAATTCTAATTCACCAAATCATGATATGTGTCTAATATTAATCAGATGATGACATGTATTACGATATATATAATTGTTAATTTAGATTGTGACATGTGTTAATATTAACAAAAATAGAAAATGTATTATAAAACAAATAAAAAAAGATTGTCTTATCCAAAAAGTAATATTTCTAAATTATCATATTACAAAATACATTTTTTTCATCCCAATTATCTAAACTTTCAACAACAAACAAAAAATATTTTATCGAAGTTGGCGAACAAAAAATAGTTAAACACAAAATGAAGTGTTATATTGTAAGTGTCATTTTACTGATATAATAACGTG